ATTTAAAACAGTGTCCAAACATTGTAAGACACTTTTACAGGAGCGAAAAAGGACTTCGCAAAGGCATTGAAATGTATTGAGTCGGCTTCAATACATTCCAATATAGGAAACATTGTTTCACTCAACGATGTTTCCTATGGGGATTTTCACTGAATGATGGCAATCTGTTCCAATTGGAACGGATTAACCAGTTTTCAAGTCATTCCTATGGGAAATGGTGTTTCACAGAACGATGTTTCACACAACGTTGTTTTTTTTGGAACCAATTAACATCGTTGTGTGAGGCACCAGTGTACTTCCTTAACATCTATAGATTTTAAATGTATTACAGCCTCAGGCTTTGCCCTTTGATTAAGTAAACATGTTCCTATTCAAGGCAAAATTCAATGACAACAAATTGGTTTCTTTTCCACTTACTTTTACAGATGCACAACCTGATCCAGAACTTTGCAAGAATACTATATGCAGATGGAGCAAACTCATAGCATGATTGTCTTTATTTGTTAAAATGTTAAAGCCCCACCAAGAACCATGCGTATGGTCTCAAGAAGGCAACTGGCACAAGGAATCACTAGATGAAAATTAAAGAGTATACACATTTACAGGATGAAGTAAGCTTATTTTTAAATCATACCTGACAGTGATAAAAGGAGTTTGGTCCCAGTGATATCATATCCTGTTACTGTTGCAGCCAAAGCCTGTCCATTTTTGAAGTACTTCCCTGGATGTTTTATGATCTGATGGGAGAGATTATTGCCAGTTACACTGGGATTAATTCTGTTTGCAGACAAGACTATTTCCCAGTGTATTATGAAGAGTTACAACATTTGCACATTTTGGCAACATCTGCTGGCAAGTGAGTGCTAGGGATTGAGCTCTTCATAAAAACCAGTCCTGAAAGAAATAAGGCTCTGAACTGTATTCCTATTCAAAAAATGTTTGAAGACCTAGATGCTTTCTTCATACTTGTAATCAAAATCTGACAATACAGAAACTTTTGTCTGTTTCTGTTCCATTCACTCTGAAATACTACAACAAAGCAAACTATTGGCTAGGTAAGTAAAGGTAAAGGTTCCCCTTGACAATTTTTGTCCAGTCATGTTCAACTCTAGGGGGCGGTGCTCATCCCCGTTTCCAAGCCATAGAGCCAGCGTTTGTCCAAAGACAATCTTCCGTGGTCACATGGCCAGTGCGACTTAGACATGGAACGCTGTTACCTTCCCACCGAGGTGGTCCCTATTTATCTACTCGCATTTGCACACTTTTGAACCGCTAGGTTGGCGGGAGCTGGGACAAGCGACGGGAGCTCACTCCATCACGTGGATTCGATCTTACAGCTCAAGATCTACAGACCTTACAGCACAGAGGCTTCTGCGGTTTAACCCGCAGCGCCACCATGTCCCATTATTGGCTAGGTAAATATGCTTATTATAAAATTAGGGAATTCATAAGGAGAGTATGCCCAACTAAACAAAATACAAATAAAAGGAGTCCTGTGGTGCTTTCACTCAATCTCAAAAGTTTCTGCCATAGCAAGTGGCCTAATGTTTAAGGTGCCACAAGACTCTATCTTCTTTTTGATTCAACGAACATGGTACCCCCTCCAGAAAGAACTAGGACAACACATTTCTGACATTTTAATAGGGCTGTTTCTCTAGAGCTTGTTTCATACTATTGAATATAGTCTCCTGCTTATAAGAGCCCTGTGTTCTTTATTCCTTGAAAAAACTTACCTTGGGATATAGAGACAGTAATAGCTGATGAACTCTGCCTATAATATTAGGGGTGACCTCCACCTCCAGCCATTTATTTGTGATGTTGTACTAAGAGGGAAAAAAATAATACAGCTTTTGCATACATTCATTAGCAGCAGGCCCAGTAACTTGATCCACGTGCTTCGTCATTCCTCTACACTAATCCCATGTAAAGAGCTTGACATGTACACATAAGATAGCTACGTTATTATTTTTATTTTGAAGGCCAATTCCTGATAAATGTGTACTTCCAACTTACATACTTTTGTCTAAAATCTATAGACTAAAAATTGAGGGTCGTCTTGTACATGGAAGTAAGTTGAGTAGAGAAAAACCAAGTGGTGGAGAAAGCAGGGATCAAAGTGGGCCTGCAGGGCTTTGATCCCTGCTTTCCCCTCCACTTGCTAAGCCTTAGCAAAAGTAAAACAGGGATCAAAGCGTTGCAGGATGGCTTTGATCCTTGCTTTCCCCTCTGCTTACTAAGTCCCATGGGGCTTAGCAAGTGTAGGGGGAAAGGATCAAAACAACCATGCAGTTGCGGGATTGCTTTGATCCCTTCCCCCCTCCTTTTGCTAAGCCCAGTGGCTTAGCACGAAGGGAGAAAGCAGGCATAGAAGCGATCCTGCAGTGCTTTGATCCCTTTCCCCCTACACTTGCTAAGCCCCACTTAGATTTCTTAATTTTGGGTTAGAAAAGTGGAGGGCGTCTTATAAATGGGGGTGTCTTATACACAGAAAAATACGGTCTATACCCACTATATTCTACAGAATTTCATTGTGAGGGGGAAATGACACAAAATTTAAAGGGGAAAAAAGAAATACGACATTAAATATATTTTTAAAAATTCTGCGCTTCACCTTCTTAACAAAGCATGTCACCATCTGACCAGGCTTGAAGGATTTCATAATTTCTTCTGATTTTTCATCTTCAGAGCCCAGAACTGTTTTGCATTCCCCTTTCAGCTCACTGATCATAAAAGACAGGGTAAAGCAGTTATTGTTCTAGACTTCATACTTAGTACTCTAATTTCTTCCCCACTTCTCACTCAAAATGTTGTTATACAGAGAAAGCAGAGCACTTTCAATTGTAGCAAGGGTTACAGTTCACAAATACCCACCAGGATATATGTCACATGCCTAGACAATTCTCAACTAGCATAAGAAATGCTGGGTATTTATAGAGATATGCTGAAATTACAGTAATATTACATAGTAGGAAGCTATGGATGGTTTGGCTTCTTGGTTACTCCTTTGTTCATATACAAGAAGAGGTCATTTCTAACAATTCTCTCACTATCCCTGCACCCCATATCTCACATCACTCACAAGGTTCTTCTAATTCCCCAAGCAGATGTGGGTATGTAGGGCTGTGGGAGAAAGAGAAAACTGGACAACTCTATTCAGTAAATTCAGTTTTAGTTATAGAAATAAAGCTAGGATAGAAGCCAATGTAATTCTGTAATGGCTTGATCTGGTTTAGAGTTCAACAACTGCTGTACAATATTAAATACCAATCACATTTAGGACACTGTCTGTAGACCTAGGCTGTGAGGAGCTTGAGACCCAGTCTCTGACCCTAACATCTCAAGGGACAAAGTTGCCAATGTCCCAACATTTATCGGCCATAATATCTCTGGCCACTTTCAGCCACTATTTACCATTATCCTAGCAACTATCAATTAATTGCAATACTTATTCAGCAACAGAAGTCAGAACATGGTATTTAGATTTAATGAATTTGTCCAATGTTCCTCTCACTTAACTTCTTAGATACAGAATTTTACAAACCAAATTTCTACTTGTTCAGGGAAATCAGCCCAATTAGGTGAGTTCAGGGGGGAGAAGCTGTCCGCCTTTTCCATGTTCTAGTACTACGCCCAGAGACCTTTGGGTAGTGTGGGCAGGGGAGAAGCTGTCTGCCTTTACCATGTTCTAGTACTTCAACTTAGTACACAAGCCCAGGAATGAAAATCCTCCTTACCTTGGCCTCAGTACACAAACCCAGGAATGAAAATCCTCCTTACCTTGGCCGGATACTGAGCTCTGGCCACGTAAGAGCAAAATGGGTATGGGTGATGGGCAAATATCTGAAAAGAAAGAGCAGAGTAGTGTGTCACTCTTGGTGCTGCCAAGTTAGCATTCTGAAAGAAGGCAGCACATTCCCCTACTGCGCAGGGAATGAGTCATTTTTCTCAAAACCAACATGCCTGCCTTAACAATAGAGGTATTAATTCTGTTTCCCAAAAGTGAAGATACCAATTTTCTCCCCTGAAGGTTCTTCTCCCCTGCTTTCATTTCAAGGAATGGAAAAAGTACATCACGTTATATAGCGATTTCCTTTCATTCCCTGCATTTGAACAATACTACACCCATTAGCAAGGGAGAAACCTCTCACTTTCTGTGATTTCAGACTTATTTCCTAAGAAGCCAAATGCTCACAGACGCAATACTGATCAAATACAGTGGACCTACCATTCTCAGTAAATCTCTATATAAGATTTAAGACTCTGGTCTATGTATCCCACCTGCAACTTGAACATTTCAGATTTATTTATTTCCCTGTCAGCCTCAATATGTACAGGAAAATCTGTCAATTTAACTGCCTCCCATTTCTGAATTTTCTAAACTTCAAATTCTTTCCATCTCCAAAATGAAGTTTGTGAATTTTGGTAAATGCTTCAAAAATTAATCTGGAGCAAAATTCTTCCTCACCTGTACAATATCTGCCTGATTCAACAGATAGAGCTATTCCCACCACAAACCTGTCCAATATGCCACTGTTAATGTTTCCCAAAAGTGAAAATACCAATTTTCTCCCCTGAAGGTTCTTCTCCCCTGCTTTCATTTCAAGGAATGGAAAAAGTACATCACGTTATATAGCGATTTCCTTTCATTCCCTGCATTTGAACAATACTACACCCATTAGCAAGGGAGAAACCTCTCACTTTCTGTGATTTCAGACTTATTTCCTAAGAAGCCAAATGCTCACAGACGCAATACTGATCAAATACAGTGGACCTACCATTCTCAGTAAATCTCTATATAAGATTTAAGACTCTGGTCTATGTATCCCACCTGCAACTTGAACATTTCAGATTTATTTATTTCCCTGTCAGCCTCAATATGTACAGGAAAATCTGTCAATTTAACTGCCTCCCATTTCTGAATTTTCTAAACTTCAAATTCTTTCCATCTCCAAAATGAAGTTTGTGAATTTTGGTAAATGCTTCAAAAATTAATCTGGAGCAAAATTCTTCCTCATCTGTATCTGCCTGATTCAACAGACAGAGCTATTCCCACCACAAACCTGTCCAATGTATATCACGTTATATAGCTATTTCCTTTCATTCCCTGCATTTGAACAAGACTGCACCCAAATTAGCACGGGAGAAACCTCTCGCTTTTTGTGATTTCAGACTTATTTCCCAAGAAGCCAAATGCTCACAGATGCAATACTGATCAAATACAGTGGACCTACCATTCTCAGTAAATCTCTATATAAGATTTAAGAGTCTGATCTATGTATCCCACCTGCAACTTGAACATTTCAGATTTATTTATTTCCCTGTCAGCCTCAATATGTACAGGAAAATCTGTCAATTTAACTGCCTCCCATTTCTGAATTTTCTAAACTTCAAATTCTTTCCATCTCCAAAATGAAGTTTGTGAATTTTGGTAAATGCTTCAAAAATTAATCTGGAGCAAAATTCTTCCTCATCTGTATCTGCCTGATTCAACAGACAGAGCTATTCCCACCACAAACCTGTCCAATATGTCACTGTTAAACAGGAGGGGATTTATAGAAATGGGAACTTTACTTCTGCACTAGAAACATGACTTAATACACAGGGATGCAAACCCATAGTTCTTAGGGAAAAGCATTCAAATCTCTGGATGAATGACTACCAGTTGTGGTTTTTCCCACACTAGGTTTTTAGATACCTCAGGTTCTTTTCATCCAAAATACGAAAAAAAAACCTTGTGAATGTTGGTAAATTCTTATAGTATGCTTAAAAAATGAACTGAAATAAAATTGTCGCTATTTACAGTTGAAAGCTTTTGTGCTTCACAGGTTATATTGCAAGCATTAACAAAAATACTCAAAGGCAAACTTAAAAAACTAAAAAAGAAAAAAAAAGAAAACCCACTTGGACTTTATAACCTATCTACAAAATCAGGGCTGGGGACCTTGTAGCTCTACAGATGATAAGGGACTCCTACTTCCATCATCTGTCACCACTGGTCAAATTGATGGGGCCGATGGGAATGGTCTAACAACATCTGGAGGACTACAACTCCTTCAGGCCTTTTATAAAATGCTGGGTACTTGCAAACCCACTGAATTGTTTGGAGCGAAGCATTGACTTGTTTTATACATTCTCTCTTCATTTGCTCTAGAAGGCAGATGTAGGCCCAGATCCTCTTGGAGGTATGCTAATGGTGTAACTTTGGGAAGAATATTGCCCCAAGTTAAGAAATATTGGTGTAGACATCAGTAGCATACTGAGCCACATAACTCAGTAGGCAACACATCATCTCCACTGTGATTTCTTAGGGCACTGTGACTTCTTAAGCCAACTCACCTACTGAATTTACGGTTTGTGTTGTGCTCATGTAACTAGGCAAGAGGGCTTGCAAGGAATCTTACCCATATAAAAGAGACAAAGCTTGGATAATCTACAGAAGCATTGCCTCAAGAACAAGTGAGAGATAAATGACTCTGGAAATACTCCTCTACTGATAGAAAATCCAAGTTGCCTCCTTACTTGTTCTAGAAAGAAACTGGCGAGTATTCAAGTAGGAGCAAAGGTCAGACTAAATATGCTTCACATTCTTCGAAGTATGACTAAAATTGTACACAGGGAAACAAATGCATGAGTGCATCTAGATTTAGGGCACATGTGCAAATGTATGCCAACTAGAATATTAACTACAGTGAAAGAAACAACTGGGCACAAATAAATACTAGAATAGTATTCCTAGAATATTTCACCTACCTGTGAGTTTTAATTTCTCTTCCCCCAATGACCCGAGCAGTCACCTTCTGCCCCACTTTTAGTACTGAGGTTGGAAAGGTGCCAATGGAAACATTATCCAAGATCTGGGACGCATGAATAGAGCCAGTCAGAGTTTCGTTAATTGCCACTAGGACATGGGTAGGCTTGATAGATTTAACAGTTCCTTTGATGACATCACCCAAGCTCAATGAATGTTTCACCAAAGCAGGAGTTTCCGCTAATGTCTCAGATGGATATCTTGACCTGAATATAGATTTCTTCTTCATTGGACTTTGCACAGCAAGCAAAATCTCATGGACTCCTGCCTCAGTAGTCTTCAGTACCACCGTGACTGACTGACCAATTTTCAGCTTCTCAGAATCAAACCGGAAGGTGTCATTGAAGTGGGAAGCCACTGGGATGGCAATCAGCTGACCTGTTCCTACCAAGGAAACCACTGCATGCTCTGTAGCAATGTGTTGCACAATGGCCTGGTACTGAGAGCCTGGGGTTAACTGGAAAGCAGAAAAAATGACATTTAGAAAGCTAAGAAAGCAAATGTCTGAAACAGACACCTGCAGTCACTTTGTACCTAAGGCTGAAGTGTAGTGTTTAAAGTATTCCTGATGGATCTTTTGGCCTCATCTGAAAAATGAGAAAGTGAGCTTTTACAACATTCCTAGGTGTAGCTGGACAATATTCCGGCTTTCAAGACTAAATCCCAACATTGTTTAAGACTGTAAAAACACACTCCCCCAAGGTTCTTAAGCAGTGGCAGCTTTGGAACATTCCCAGCTATGTGCCTATGCAACTATTCTCAGAGGATACCATTTTTCATAAGGGTGACATCCCAGTGCATATTCTTTTAATGCTCTCTTTGCATATACATCCTATGCACTTCTCTTCCATGAGCCTGTCATTAACAATCCAAGTATGTATTTACCTTAGCTAAGCATCACATAATTCTAGCTCATCATACCTTCTTAGATTTGGGAGACAGCAATTCCTCTCGAAGAGATACACAGACCTTTGAATGCAGGTAATCAATGCCAAGAACCACAACTTTTGCTTTTTCGCCCATGATAATATTTTTGCCTTTAAAAAAAAATCACAAGATAAATCTTGTTGTTGCCTCAGTGAGAATCCCGATCTTCATGTAAGGTTTACTAGAAAAAAAGGATCCATGAGGAATATACTACCTCCAAGATGACTGTGAGTGGCCACTGCAGTCAGCCCAGAAACACAGGAGCCACTGAAAGTTGCTGAACCGTCTGCTTTGATTTCTTCAACCACCAGCTCCAGCCTTTGACCAGGTTTTAAATCACAGAGTTTCTGGGCCACACTGGAATCATCTGAGGATAAAGTGAAGCAGAACTAAGTTTCATTTGCAGCTTTATTTTTTATTACTAATGTGTAGAAATGTCTCAGATTCTTTTTAAAAAAACAGAATTAGCGGTACGAATTACTGCATTCTCTTATTTTGAGGCAGATTAATTTAAGGATCTGCATTTGAAAAGCAACTTTTGCATCTAAGACAACGTGAAAACAGGAGAGTGGGAGAAAAATGAGATCCCACCTCCCCCTTCCTACACTGTTAACACAGAGAAGCAATGAGGCCCAGTCATATAAAAACAAAATGTCTTTCCACAAGTGCCAAATTATACAAAAATGCCCTGCATGCAAAGATATTCACCAAGTGACTATAATTTTTGTCCCAAAATAAAATTCTAAGCTTCTCAGCTTTTTCTTTTTTAAAAAACAAACAAACAAACCTTTCTAAGCTTCCTGATTTTGATAGAAAGCATTTTTAACTCTGAATCCAGCTTCTCCAAATAGTCCCTGTGACTCTGACAGGCTCACATGAGGCCTTGATGTATTTCCTTTCGTAAGTTCAAATCAATTTAGTTTAATTTAATTGTAACATTTGCACCTCACCTTTCCTCCAATGAGTTTACGTGCCTTACCTGGCTCTCCCCCCACCCTCCCTGTATAACAACCCTGCGAGGAAGGGCAGAGCAGGAGTGTGTAAATGGCCTACCTAGGACTGGAATCCAGTTCCTAAGACCTAATTCAATCCTGCAACAATGTTATCACTCTGGCTCTTTACCTTGTTTGGCCATGACGCTTTTGATCTCCTGGAGCTCCTTAAAGTACTGATGCACCAAAGAAAAGCTCTCTGAAACAGCATTGTCAGAGGAACATTCAGACACCTTCAGGGACAGCAGGATGCGCTGCTTCTCCTCATCAATGTTGGTCACTTTGGCTACCACAGTCTGGCCTATCACAAAATGATCCTTGGTGTCTGTCACAAACTTGTCACTCATTGCCTGTGGTGATTAGGAGACAGAGCTATTTAATATTTGTTATGGTACCACAGCCTCAAAATCTCCTTATTCATAAGGAAACTGCAACCTGAGGTTGCTATGCATGTTTTCTTCTGTTTTTCTTCATTACTCAAAGCTCTTCAATAGGAACCCACATAAAGCAGAAAGAATTTACTGTTTCCCTCTTCCTTAAATTTTGACAATTTTCATACTTCATATAATTCAATATTCTTTGCATATAACTCAAGAACGTTCACAAACCTGAATGGTTTTGTCTGCAAGTTCACAGGAATGCCCATCCCTTCTTGCTTTAAACAAGCAAACAAAGAATTGGTCAGCCACCTAGAGTGGTCTTAATCAACTAGAATTTAAACAAGCAAACAAAGAATTCCTATCTGTTAGTGGGCACTGTCTACATTCATGTTTTATATTATAAAACTCTTCCCAGGAAGAATTTTTATTATTTCAGAGTAACACAGAACAAGCACGAGAGATTGTTTTAATGTAACATCTCAAGTTTGACTTCCACGTTGCAGAACAGTCCGGTTTTTAGAAAGGACTGCATGACGTTTCTTACCGACTTAGGCGCTAGCCCTGTCAGACCATATGGGAACTCAACAAAGACACCATAGGGCATGATGTTTCTCACAAAGCCACTCAGCAGCAATCCAGTCTGGAGGTCAGAGAAGCTCTTCACCACCTGCTCTTCTTCTACAGCCAGAATTACTGCTGGCTTCCTGCTCAGGGTCTAAAAACAGTCAGTCAAGGAATAAGCTAGTTTAAATGAGAGGTTTCAGAATTTCTTGTATTTGGCCACTACAAGCCAGGCTAGAGTCTATGAGGGTGGACAAATGAGAAAATGAAGCATTGTGGAATGAGGAAATTGTTGAACAGATCACGTTCTAAGCAGTCATGTACTTCCATGGGAACTTCATTAGTTTCCATTTTGCAAACAGCATGGACACCAATGTAAACTACAGACCTCACCCACAAAGATGTAGACACAACCAACAAAGACTGCCATTCTTTTGCCAGCCAAAGTGATAAAGGATAATGTTCTACTCTATTTCTTTGCAACCAAAACTTGTGCCAGAGCATTTCCTTCCTTTTATCTGCAAGACAGAGGCTACAATCCTATCCATGCTTTTTGGGACTATAACCCACTGAAGAATGGGAATTATCTCTGGATAAGCACTGTGGCTGCAATCCAAAACACAGTATCACAAAGTAACGGAGTGAAACTTATTTCCATTTACATAAGCATCTAAAGGATCAAGGTTTGTACCTCTGGACTACCGGAACACTAAACAGAATCAAGTTATGAACTATAAGCAGATAGGGAAATAGTTCCAGATTAAAATGTCTAGAGCAGGGTAGAAAATTGTGGGGGGAAAAAACCCCTTTGTGTTAGCTACTTAATAAACTAGACATGATGGACTATAAGATGAACATAAATCAACAGAACGATTTGTGCAAGGTAGGAGAACAGCCACATTACCAGTCTAGAGGAAGAAATAACAAACAAACAATGGATTCCCAGTGTGATCTAGTGGATTCAGTGACAGACTAGTACTCTGGAGAACATGGAAACTGACTGGGGGAGTGGAACTAGTAAAATCATTCCTTAAAAATCTCATTTATCTTGAAAGCCCTATTAGGGTTGTTGTAAGTTGGTTCTGACTTGACGGCACAGAACACACACACAAAGGAAGAAATACATGCAATACACAGCATATTAAATCTATTGTACAACATACAATATTATTTCAGCCAAAGGCTTGGCACAGATGGAAAAGGATACAATATGCTCTCCCTTGTCATGGAGACACATAACCCTATGGAGAATATCTTCTTCTCTGAGCCAGTGCCACCACAATTTGGCATGGGATACATGGTCAGAAAGATGCATCATTGGGAGGTAGGCAGAAATGTTATCAGGCAAGATTGTAACATCTAGGCCATTTTCCTTCTTCTGCACAATTTTTACATCAACAATCTGATTTAAAAAACACAAAGAATGGCAGATGTTTTCAATACCTGCAGGACTACCATCTTACAACCCAGGATCACAGTAAGGTTTCTCAAAATACAGGTGTTTCAACAATAGAAGCTAAATTCTAAGAATAATAATTTTGATGTAAAGGACCTCCTAGAAGAGATTATTTAAATTAATTTGAAATATTCCATTTACATTAGGTGCACTCCATTTGGGATGCAGCCACATCTTTCCTTATAAGATACATAAACTCATGACAGATGCTTTAAACATTTATTGGAAGAAAGATGACATGGATAGACTAAAAAGGTGTCCAACGACAGAACCCACCCAATAGGCAAGAAATATGCAGTACAGAATTCTGCACCTCCACTGCTTTTTCCCAACAAGCACATTTCCTCAGGGGAGATTTCCAAATCTCATTATCTGCAAATGGAAAAGGAACCTCCCTGCCAGAGAATAGAAAGGAAGTGTTTTAGAACAAATTACCTGTCCAGCTTCATATGTCACTTCTCGTTTCCTGGAACTCTCTTCTCTTCTACTGCCCCTGGCAACAGTACTACCTGTCAGCTTGAATGAGAGAAGCAGCTTCTCCTGCTCAGGCTCACATTTCAAGATAACAACTTTTACCACCTGATTGGCAGAAAAGGGGAAACAAAGAAATACAGAAAAAGTCTATGGATACACATTTGTCTTCAGACTTAAGCAGGTCCGCCTTGATACTTTGTACATATTGAAACAAAGGTAAAATTGCTATTCCTTCCTTAACTCTGATCCTATCTATTTTGACCATCACCTCTGTGTTGCATCCAACTTCCTTTTTTTTCTTGCATATGACTTAAGCACTTTAAAACATTATTCTTGTGATTTTAACAGAAATCAGTTGCTTTTTCTAATAGCATGAGAAGTTTAATTCAATTAATTTAGCTTTTTTTTTTAATTAAAAGAGAACACACTGCTCTATCTTACTGTCGTGGCCTAACCCAGAAATATGAGTTGTGTAACAAGAACCTGCACACACAAAAAAAGAAAAATCTGAATTCTGTAACTAACTGCACACACATAAAATATGTTTCAGAAAAATAAATAAATAAATAAGTAAGTAAGTAAGTAAGTAAGTAAGTAAGTAAGTAAGTAAGTAAGTAAGTAAGTAAATAAATAAATAAATAAATAAATAAATTTGCGATTCTTATCCGAAGCTACAGCTAGTGGCCAAAATCCTCAAGTATAGCTGTGCAATACTTTTGGAGGCAAATTGCCCCAAGTTAAGAAATCATTGCAGGCCGTATCAGCTGCATGGCGACCCACACAATTCCATATGCAACAGGTAATGTACAGTATATGGTGATTTCTTAAGGCAATTTGCCTCCAAAAGTTGCACTGTTTTTTAAAAGTCCAGCATAACTAGGCAAAAGGATTTGGAACATCATAACAAATGGTACATTTTACTTTTATTCAATATCTACCTGGCCTTCATAGAAGGCTTCCTGAGGAGCAGTCAAAGGTGGCACACCAAGTTCACTCTTGGGAACCAGGCCTTTAATGTCATTGTAGAATTTCACAATGCAGCCAAATTCCCTAGCACAGACAACAAAACCATGGGTGATCAGGCCTGGCTTTGCATCTTCATAACTGGCAAGGACAGGGAGCTTAGAACTGACAAGGGTTCTCTTCAGTGTCAAAATAAGCTTCCTTTCTTCAGGATTGGAGACAAGCACCTGGGGGAGAAAAAAAAACATAGAACAATATATGCTGACTAGTGAAACTGGTTTCAAACAATGATGAAAGAAACAATAAGCCTTAACCTTAAATTACTGTGTTGAAACTCAAGGTTCAAGAGTCATCTTCAGTAAGATTTACTTTTTGTGTATTCAACTCTTCCCCTTATGTGTTCAGGGCAGAATACATGTGGTCCCTTCATATCAGCTTCATGAAAAATCTTGTGAGTATAATGGCCTGAGACCGCAGGTTACCCAAAGCTACCCAGTAAGCATCATGTTTGAAAAGAACTACGTACATCCGGTCCAACAATTTTGCCACAACACCCCCCACCAGCTCTCATGGCAAAAAAGTTTATGCTCAGAGAAACAATCTCCACTTGGAACATTTCAAGATTTTTCCTGCCAAAATCATACTCAGAATAATCCAGAATTTAAAATAACCCTATACAGGGAGGGAGATCTTACCCGGCATTTGACAGCAGCCCCCACACTGTATTTCTTCTCTGGCTGTTTCAGAGGTACATCAGCCAGATGCAGGCAGGGAACCAAGCCCTTGATGTGCTCAGTCACCTTCACCTGCATGCCAAAGGGCTTCAGAGTCAATATAGTGCCCTAAAGTGCCAAAGAAAGAAGGTCAGAAAACAATGCTGTGATCCAGGACAGTTATATTTATCCTTTTGTACTTTATGCCTCACCAATCACTCCATCAAAGGACCTAAGTCACACAATGATAGAAACAAAAAAACCACTTCTCCCAAGAACAACAGGTACTCTATTACTATATTGCACATTGCCATCAAAGGACCTCAGTCACACAATGATAGAAACAAAAAAAAAACTTCTCCCAAGAACAGGTACTCTATTACTATATTGCACATTTATGGCAAATTGGTGGACAAAGACAATGGAGCATGAGCAGAAACAATGAAACTATTAGTACTAGCATGCCAAAAGAGTACATATGGATCATTCATGGCAGGCAGGATGACATATGTGGAAAAGAACATAAAGATGGCAAAGAGTTTATTCTTAGTAGTAGTTTAAAAATCATATGTTTCACTGGTTGTCTTCAGTGTCCCAGAAGTAATTTGTATACTGCTAGTTGAGAACCACTGTTCCAGGAAATGTAAAACCAAAATCCTACTACAGTGTTGCAATGAATAAGACTCAACTGTAGGGACTTAATCCAATTGCTAGTACAAGGCAGAATAGCCCCAATAAATTGGCTGTTGAATGGTGGATCAAAACTTCCATAAAAAGCATTGATGCAATGTTTTTTTTTTCTATTTAGAACTACAAACTGGATGAGAAATTAGATCTAAGATCACATGAAGAGAAATACAATGAATTCACCTAGTAAAAATTAGACTAATCTCTAGATAGCCAGGGTAGAGAATGAAGCTCTGCCGATCTTCTTTGACAACGAATCTCATCAGTCTTGGATACCATAGGGTAATGAAGACCAACAAGCTCTGAAAGCCTACACGTTCCCCACCTCTCTTAGCACAACTGCATCTGCTGTGCTAGTTGCCCTGAAATGAATAGCATCGTTTTATTTTTATTACATAGTAGGATTTGTGCCTAAATAACCAATGAACACAAACATCAAAGGGGCTTCATACTTATTGACTAAAATGTTATGAAGTTAATTCTTTGACTGTACTGTAACTGAGACCGCAAAGAAGGTTGAGATGAAGGAATATTTTTGTTTTGTTGTTGAACTTACTTCCAACACTTGTCCAGGAAGAATATCATGGTACCTCAAAAATGGAGCATTAATAATACGTCTACAGACATTAAAAAGAAAGAAAATATTGGCTGTTAGATGGAAGATAAACATAACATACGGCAAAGATGATGGATTCCATCCTGATTCTTTCTCCTGCCTCCATAAGCAGGCCAGTAGTAACTGAAATCACTTTTACTTGATAACACAAAGTCTCCAAATTATTAGCATCAATTGTTTGTGATGCATATTTTAGATGCAGGCTTCAATATACAGTGGTGCCTCGCTTAACGATGTTAATTGGTTCAAAAAAAACATCGCTATGGGAAAACATCGTTAAGCAAAACACCATTTCCCATAGGAATGCATTGAAAACCGGTTAATCCGTTCCAATGGGAACGGATTGCCGTCCTTAAGCGAAAATCCCCATAGGAAACATCGCTAAGTGAAACAATGTCTCCCCCAAGGGAAAGCCATTCAAAAGCACTGAAGCCAGCTTCCGTGCTTTTGAATGGCTTTCCGATGTCCGTTCAATGGATTTAAATGGGGAAAACAAAAAATCACCAAAAATTAACGAAGACTCAGAACAAAACCAAATTAAGTTTGCACATGTTTCACAAGGTGCACTACCGAATCCAAGCATTTAAAACAGGTTTCAAACATTTTAAGACAATTTTAAATGAGCAAAAACGGACATCGTTAAGTGAAATTCCCCCATAGAGAACATCATTAAACGATGGGGAAATTTCCTCAAAGAAACCCATCGCAAAGCGAATACATCGTTAAACGAAGCAATCGCTAAGCGAGGCACCACTGTACTTGCAAAGAAGAATGCATCTCAGCTTTCTTCTACAGATTTAAAGACCAGTGTGCAAAAGTATCTCATAACTCATTCATTCCCATAAGGATCCTTAGTTTTTCTTCTCAGCCTCAGATTTTAACTTTCACAGATAACCAAAGCAGCTATATTTCATCCACAGAAAATCCAGAAAACATGCTCGTCTAACCAAACACAACATTGCCACTGTTCATTACAAGAACAGAATATATAAGTATTAGAATAATACAATTTTCCTTCTCTCTTGATTCATTTTGCACAAACCTCCCCTCCTGCTTGAGAAATGCCTTCTGTTTCTTTGCTTAATCTACGTCCTTTCTTTAAAAAAAAAAAATCACATGTCCACAAATCTCCACACTTCTGCCTTTGATCATGAACTCCTAACAGTAAGAGCCATTTGACAGTGGAAACAACTGCCTCTGAAGGTAGTGGACTCTTCTTTACTGCAGAGTCTTAAGCAGAGATTGGAACACTACTAATCAGGGATGCTACAGCTATGGGTTTTTTACAATGACTGGGGGCTGACGTCAATGACCCTTGGATCCCTTCCAGTTCCATAATTCAAAGATTCTATGATAAACATAATTTCTTCAATAAACAAAATGTGAAAGAAGCAACACAAAGATAAAAGGAGAGCCACACCTAGGTACAGTTATGATATTTCATTTTTTTCAGTCTGCCATGTTGGTATCTTTCAACGTTCAAGTAAACTGGTGGTGATTAAGTAAACTGAGCAGCAACTAAAGTTCCTGGACTAAGATGGATCTCAACTATTTTATCTGTAACTTTTGTAGAAAGAGATAATCTGAACAGCCAGAAGGGCAAAAAGTTCTGGTTTATTTTGCATGCAGAAAGATTGCATAGAACCAATTTTTTAAATCAGCAGAAACAATGCACTACACAAATGTGTAACATATGTGCACTTTAGTCTTTCTAGGAGCATTGTATTTCTCCAGGTACTAATACATGTTAGCTTATCTGTTTGGCACTTGAAATTCCATCTACACACCCTGTTTCCCTGAAAATAAGATCTAACCTGAAAATAAACCCTACTATGATTTTCCAGAATGCTCGTAATATAAGTGCTACCCCAAAATTAAGCCCCAGTTAAATGAAACCCTGCCCTCCACCATTGTGCAGCAACCAGAACATGATGACATGACTGTATTTGAATAAACGTAGATTGTTGTACATGAAAAAAATAAAACATCCCATGAAAATAAGCCCTACTGCTTTTTTGGAGCAAAAATTAATATAAGATCCAATCTTATTTTCAGGGAAACACGTAGAATTTCAGAAATAGAGAAATATGTAAAATATGGATATATAATAGTTCTTAGAAGACTAGCTTGTGCAAATTGCATTGGAATGAGACAGGAATCTTACTGTTTGAGAGACACCATAGCAACATCATCCATTGGGCTGTAGTCAATAATTCGGCATTTATGTTTGCTTTCAGGCTTAAACAATTCCATTTTGAAAGATCTGGGAGAATCTGAAAGGTGTTTCAGCTATAAAAACAAAGAATGTTAAAAGTATTCCAGATCATTTTCTAACTCATTAGCAATCCTGCTATTTTTCAAGATACTTGAAAAGATCCAGATTTTATCTTCTTATACAATTTACAATATTAAACACATGCACTAATCCAGAGAAGCTTTCTTTATCTACATACTTCATCATTGCAATATATACACAATATAAAGGAACTGAGAAAACTCAGATAACTTTTGTCTTGTGGCGCAGAGGTTAAACTGCTGTACTGCAATCAAAACTGTGCTCACAACCCGGGGTTCAATCCCAGGTCGCTGGCTCAAGGTTGACTCAACCTTTTATCCTTCTGAGGTCAGTAAAATGAGTACCCAGCTTGCCGAGGGTGGTGGGGAATGTGTAGCCTGCATAATTAACTTGTAAACTGCCCAGAGTGCTTGAAGTGCTATGGGGCGGTATATAATCAGGACACTTTGCTTTTTTCTGCCTTGAAACTCTTCTAGCTCCTCTGCATATTAGCACAAATTAAAAAATCCTATTTTTTATTTATTTAAGATATTTTTACCCCACCTTTCTCCTTAAAATGGCCCAAGGCGGCTTACATTACTAAAAAGACAATATTTAAAAGCTAAAAACAGTGAGTGTATAAATATTTAAAAAGAATTAAAACAGCTATTATATTAAGAACGGTAAATAAAAAATCAATACAATCATAGGAGACATATTTTGAGGGATTCCAAACTGCATTTGTTTGGTGCTGATTCAGTAAGGCATAGAGCATTGACTTGCTGCTCTCTCTATGAAACAGGAAATGGTTTGAGATTTTTCCACTTGTGAGGTGTAATCAGCATTAAGGAACTTACATGCGCATAAGCTAGGCTGCCATCATCCAGCATAAAGATAGCACCTGTTTTTTTGAGAAAGGTCTTCAATGTTGAGTTTGGTACTATCATACCAATTCGATCACTGGAGAGCTGGCTAAGCTGAGTACCAGGCTGAAGGAAGACTGGACGCAGAGAGAGGCGAATTTCCTTGGAGGTGGGATTGTTGGAGAGAATACAGGCTTTCACCTGAAAGGAAACAAAGTGAAACGAAGAGTTTTCTCTTTTAAATTTTCTACATTGGCAGGCAGCATGGTGTAGTGGACAGAGTAACAAACTAGGACTCTGGAGACCATGGTTCAAATCCCCACTTGGCCACAGAAATTCACTGGGGGAATGGAACTGGTAAAATATCTCACTTACCTTGAAAGCCCTATTAGGGTCACTATGAATCAGTTCTGACTTAAAGGTACAGAATATTAACAAAACTGTCAGGTAAATACAGAATGTGCCACGAACATTATCACTATTTTTCTTAAACTTTCTAGCCCATATGAATGTGGGAAACAGTTATAATATGCACTCATTCATTTCATAGTTCATCCATGTCCTGCAGCACCCTTCATACACTTGTGAACACTTCATGTGAAATGACTTACCATCTGACCGGGTGAGTAGTTTCTTCCTTTAGGAAAACCCATGTGCATGAAGTCTACAATCCCAGTAAAGGAAGAGAGAAAACTTAGAGATATCCCAGAAGATTTTACCTGGGAAAAAAACAAAAACAAAATTTCTGTTGAATGTAAAATTATGTATCATAATAAAATCTAGATGAAGCCTGAGCCCTTAAGGAGCTTTCAAAACAGTGACTGTTATCTATTTTTGAACAGTTTATAATTTCACTTGTTTTATTTTCTCTTATTACTGTTTCAGTTATGTCTTAAAGTATTGTGAATCACTGAATTCTGCAGATGTTTGTTGTAGTAAAGTAGAAAAGTTCTTCACTTTCCCATTTCTGATTTACAGAAAAGCCAAAACAGATAAAAGGTTTCTTTGTTAGATACGGATACACTAGCAGAGGTTGTCAACCCCTGGTCCGTGGCCTGGTGCCAGTCCATGGCCTGACCCGGACCAGGCTGCGGAGAAAGACCTCCTACCCCCCCCTGCACACACTCCCCTCCCCACAGCTGCTTTGTGTATGCATGCGCATGCCAGCGTGAACGCTCCCCCACCCCTTCACACATGTGTCCAAGCGCCCGCGCACTCACGCACATGCACATGTGCGCTCCCCCAGTACTTCGCACATGCACCCGAGAGAGAGCACAAGGGGGCTGCCCCGCCTTCCTCAGAGGCTCAGCTGGTCCACAGTCCCCAAAAGGTTGGGGACCACTGCACTGTAGGACAGGGGAAATCCCTTCCATGTGCAGTGCTCCTGGATCAGTGCAAGAAACACTGTATTCTTTGTCCTAGTTTTTTTCATCACATTAACTGATCCAGGGTTTCCCCCAGATCTTGTAGGCACTTTCTAAAAAAAAAAATCACTTCTCTTTGGACATAGATGATATTCCTGTACGCATCCATCCCAGTGAGCCCTTAAAGAACTTTCAAAACAGTGACTGTTATCTATTTTTGAACAGTTTATAGTTTCACTTGTTTTATTTTCTCTTATTACTATTTCAGTTATGTCTTACAGTATTGTGAATCACTGAATTCTGCAGATGTTTGTTGTAGTAAAGTAGAAAAGTTCTTCACTTTCCAATTTCTGATTTACAGAAAAGCCAAAACAGATAAAAGGTTTCTTTGTTAGATACGGATACACTAGCAGAGGTTGCCAACCCCTGGTCCGTGGCCTGGTGCCAGTCCGTGGCCTGACCCAGACCAGGCTGCGGAGAAAGACGTCCTACCCCCCCTGCACACACTCCCCTCCCCACAGCTGCTTTGTGTACACATGCGCATGCCAGCGTGAACGCTCCCCCACCCCTTCACACATGTGTCCAAGCACCCACGCAGACACTCATGCACATGCACAAAGGGGTGAGGGAGCGCTCATGCCGGTGCTGGCACACATGTGCGCTCCCCCACTACTTCGCACATGCACCCAAGGGAGAGCACAAGGGGGCTGCCCCGCCTTCCTCAGAGGCTCAGCTGGTCCACAGTCCCCAAAAGGTTGGGGACCACTGCGCTGTAGGACAGGGGAAATTCCTTCCATGTGCAGTGCTCCTGGATCAGTGCAAGAAACACTGTATTCTTTGTCCTAGTTTTTTTCATCACATTAACTGATCCAGGGTTTCCCCCAGATCTTGTAGGCACTTTCTAAAAAAAAAATCACTTCTCTTTGGAAAATAATGAAGTGACATAGATGATATGCCTGTACGAATCCATCCCAGTTCTAACGGAGCAAATCTAGATGGTTGGATTATGATTGTTTTTACTTTTTATAGGTACAGTAGTAAAGTTCACAAAAAGAAAGTGTGTCTCATATAGTCTCACATGCAGTCGAGTGGATATAAACATCAGGCTACATCAGGTGACACCAGCAAGCAGATAGCACAATTATTCAGATTGCTCGCTTAATGACATATGACATGCTTGTACTCAAGCTGAATTATTGAATGGCACTGCATACCTACTAACATAGCACATTTTTATAAACAATTTATATGGTTTACCTCTTGAACCCAAGCTTTTACCACCAACCCTGGCAGCAAGTTGCTGAGTGACCAGTTTTGTTCTTCTGTAGCAATGGCTGCAGCAACTTCAGACTGGTTGATGGACATGCGGACTATCCTTCCGCCATTCTTTACTTCTTCAATAAGGCAATTCAGGTATTGCCCAATTTTTAATTCAGCCCCTACAAGCCAGTACATACAATTACTATATTTCAGTAACAGTCAAGAGTTTTTTGGACTTACATACTTCACTATAATAATGACTGTACCTCCATGCACCAGTGAATTTGTTCACTGGTTCCATATTTTCATCATCATTAAAGAAAAGAAACAGAACTTTTCTTACATTGAAATACTATATTTTGACAAGGCATGCTCATTTTAAAAGACCTTGCACAAAAAAGTGTCCCAAAGACAAGCTGTGCATTATAGCTACTTAGAATATTCATTGCACAGTATCTTCACTAAAATGTTACACATATATAAACACACACAAGAATACCTGGAGGTGGTTCTAACTTCTAAATCTGAGATTGTGTAACATTTTGAACTAGTCATTTCTTGCACCTATAAACTTGCATCCAACCCAATTATAAGTGTAGTCATACCTTTGCTGGTTGATTGCAGGTAACCCTGGGCTTTCTGACGTGGCAAAAATGCTTTTGCGGCTGGGATGCCTATGTCAATAATGTAACCATGATCTTCCACACTAGAAATACATCCGGAGAGCACCTGTTTGGAGTAGAAGTTTATGCTTAAAAAGGAATCTATTAACAAATTATAATCTTTTAAGACTACTGTCATAATACGTTGATCCCTCCACCCACCCATATTCCACGTTTTCCAGAAAAGAATCAAGTCTATAATTCCCAAAAAGTGGATATGCACCTTTAAATTACTGAATCCACAGTGACTGCAGAGCTGTGCAGGCAATGCATAATGCCAAGAGGCAGCACAGTGTAACAAAGACATTCTCAGTCTCTTCTGATGACTGGTGGAAAGAAGACCAAACATCAGCAGCTGAACATTTATCTCTTTAAAGAGGTTTCTGTGGAATCAGTAAGCAACTGAGATGGGGAAGTCTTTTAAAATGTGATCTATAGTTTTAAAATAATATTTTAAAGTACAGTATTTGCATATTGAAGTTTCAAACTTTAATCAGTTTGCTTTAATTGTTGATCTTAAATTTTTGCTTGTCCCTTTGAGCCCCCACTATGGATAAAAGAGAGGACAAAAATCAAATCAAAACAAGCACATGCAGCATCTTTTTCCTACTTGTGACTTCCAAATGTGTTTGACCGACAATACTCATTATTATTTATTATTTATTTTTTATTATTATTATTACAGTGGTGCCTTACACAGCGAGGTTAATCCGTTCCAGATTAACCCTCGCTGTGTGAAAGCATCGTTGAACGGGGCAAGACAAGCCCATTGAAACGCATTAAACATGGTTTCATGTGTTCCAATTGGGCCGAATACAGTGGGGTCTCGACTTACGAACTTAATCCGTATTGGAAGGCAGTTCTCAGGTCGAAAAGTTCTTAAGTCGAATCTGCATTTCCCATAGGAATGCATTGAAAACCATTTAATCCGTATCTGCTCTTTTCGTCCATAGAAACTAATGGGAAGCTGCTATTCCGCCTTCTGCCACTAGAGGGGGATATTTTTTCTTTTTTCCTTTTAACCTAAGATGACTTAGCTTT